CTAGATTGATTTATTAGTTAATATTTAAACGATTATATTGTTGCAAGTAATGTACGCATTATGTAGGCTGATTAATAATAAACTATCAAAATTGAAAGTATCGCGATTAAAACTAAGCTGTGACAGCAGTGGAAACAGCTGCTTATCTTTTGTCTTCAGAGATTTACTTTGCACATTGCTAAAATTTTAGTAGATAAAATAATACTAGCTGACGATCAAAACATTGAAACAATTTAGCTCGTCAATATAAAAGAATGGATTGGTCACGCAAATACGATTTTTTTCTTCTTTATATTTACAATGTATAAATGCAAAAATTTAAATATTCTCACTACTATAAAGACTTGAATTACGACATTTGGACCTATGTATATCAAAACTATAAAATTACAAATGTGTACATACATATGTTATATAATAGTATATAGTATATAAATACATGGTGTATCGTACAGTAAAAAATATGTTCATTTTAAGGATATTCCAAATATTAATAAATGTTGTACAGTTTGTAAAATTTTTATTTGTTTGTATTTACGCGTAAAAACAGAGAAAATACTTAAAGGCACTTTTTTAAAGCGTAGCTGTAGCAATTGGTTATCATTTAATGCTTCATATTTCACTGGTGAGTCTGTGACACCAACCATTTTGTCGGACATATACTTGTATATATTTTTGTATTCTCATGATCTTATGGATTATTAAGGCTGAAAAGTATTGCTGATGATTAAATTCAACTTCAGTGAGCTGGGTTCGCATTGATATTCTTAAAGTCTTGCGTCTGTGTAGTGCTTCGTAGGACTTCCAGCCATCTATAAATATTGGAATATGTTTTAATAAATTATTTAAAATGAATAATAATAGTAGACCAGGGTAGATAATTTTTTAAAACAAAAATAAATCATAGTAGGTTGAAACCCATTGGAAACGAAAGATAAAACATCTAAAATGAAAGAAAAATTAATTTAGGGATGATCTGAGGTCGGCAAGATAAAACAGAGGGGCATGGTTGAATTTTTAAGAGTTAATAACGGTTTACCTCGATTTACGGTTAATCGACGTTAACCTAACCTAACCTACGGTTAATCGACGAGTCCTACAGGAAAAAGTTATAGTGCAGTAGGTAATAAAAAGATCTACAACTTTTGTTTTAACACCCTTTTTACATAACCTCAAAATGTGTGTGAAGAATTTCAATAGCCTAGTTTTTGAGGTTCTTACTTTTATCTTGTACAAAAACAAATTTATTTTATGAAATTTGATATAAACTTACCTTGTTATGTCTCAAATACACTGTATTTTTTTTTAAGTTAAACAATTTATTTTTCCATCTTTTTTGGCTTAAGGACCTTCCTAAAGGAGTTAGTTTTGATCGTTTACTGGGTTATTTTTTATATTTTCTGAAAAAATTTACCATAGTAATATATATACTATTTTTTATAACATCAGGAAGTAGAGATTTCAACAAATTAGAGCTTATTGACTTTTTAAAGATATCTGAAAAAGTGTGAATTTTTGATTTTAAGTCAAAAAAAATTTCCTCCTTAAAATTTTATATAAAAAATACAGTGTGTTTGGAAAATAAGAAGGTAAGATTCCTTCAAATTTTGGGAAATTTCTTTTTTTTTGTACAAGATTAAAATAAAAAACCGAAAAATTTGGATATTTGTACTTTTTACATTAATTTTGAGGTTATGTGAAAAATGTGTTATTACAAACGTTGTAAGTTGTAATCTTTATTACCTACAACTTTGTCATATAACTTAACCGTAAAAACCGTTTTTACTCCTTCAAAATTTAACCATGCCCTAGCCTTCCTCTTCCCGACCTAAGATCGCCCGTAAATTATTTTTCCTTTCATTTTTGTTGTTTTATCTTTCGTTTCCAATGGTATTCAACCCATTATGAATTCCTTTAATTTTTTACCATTTTAAAGGCTTCTGCCCTAGTCTATAGTTGTAAGGGACAACATACCGATTGTAGGTGTGTATACTTTCAGCGCGGAAAAAGTAAACATGATTCTTAAAGGACAATTTGAAAACGAATTCCTTTTGCACGGCATCTTGATGACCTGGCGGCCCCACAGAATAACCCAATAGAGGCAAACTCGCTAAAGCGAACTCATCCTGATAGCTTTTGTAAAAGTATAAGCAAAAGGAGGTGAAGACCACCCACAATTTTTGCCAACCGGAACTGTTTTTAAATTTACGTAACAAATAACCGGACAGTTGGTTTTCGGCGGATATGAGGTGATCGCCCAAGCCGACGGTTGCGCCACGATGCCAACAAACGTGTAGCGCTGTGTTGCTGCGCGAGGGTGGCGTTTTGTTTTGTAAACTTAGTTGTTGCTGCTGCAGTTGTTGAGCAGTCAGGCCGTTCGTCAAACCGCACAAATCGAGACCCTCTTCCGATGAGCCTGTGATATAAAAAAAAAGAAATAATAATAAAAAATATTTATTTCAAGTAAGTAAAAATGGAGTAACAATTATTGGATAACTTTTAAAAGTATGATAAAACTTTCCAGGAAAAAACAAACAAATTTCATTGCATTCTAAATGTTAAGTCGTCTGTCAGCCACAGCTGTGGTCTGACATATAATATAATATTTATTAGCAATTATCAGCGAATATTCCCTGGACTGGTAGTTCTTTTATATCTTACTTATTCTCTCAAAATATCTTGTAGCAGGTTTACAAGTATATGGTAATTTACTAGGTTCTTCTAAAAATGAGTAGTTTGCACTCGTGCACATAATCAGCTTATGTTTGTTTATATAAATATTTAGTTATACAGACTCACATGGAATTACATCTTCCTTTTCTTGGCAGCCCACAAGATAATGTTTATTAATATATGTATATGTAATGGAGTGTCTTAGTATTGCGATGATTTGAGAAGTAACACATAATTCTGAAGATGACAGTTAATTCTTTACTGTCACAACAAAATCTGAGCTATCTTCAATATAACTGCAGTTCATTAAAACTCTCAATGTGTTTATTTTCAACCAAATTCGAAATATACGCTAAATTTCGGACTTATTTAAGTGTTACTTCTTAATTCATATTAATATTATTGCAAGTCTACTGATTACTCACTGCAATTTTTCAACGACGTCAAGGTTAATTGTGTCGGTGGCTTATTTTTGATGTCTGCTGCCGCCTTGGAAAGCTCTGCCAGCCAGAGGGTCTTTTCGGCGGTAGTGCCAGCACTCACTGTAATTGCACATTGCCCACCAAATATGGAGAATGTATTGTGTTCGGCATTTTCTGTGAGCAAAGAGCGCACGGGGACGTGTCCGAAAATGCGGAAAGACTGATCGATCGGCGATTTTGTGCCATAAAGTAGAATGTCGGAAAATAAGAAGAAAATGCGCTGTTGTAATCCTCGTTTCGAATGTTTGAGTAGACAACCTTGTCTAATCAGTCTGCGTTTATTCTGTACCAACTTATCGAAGCCTGTTATGTCTCGCTGCAATTCGCAGAGTTGCACGAAATTTTCGGACTCGGGCAATTGTTCACGAATCTGCTTGGTGGTTCTCAATAGAATATGATAAACAGCCTGACAATCAGCATAGTCGATGTGGTCTTCAGTGAAGAAATCACACAAGCCTATAGGGTAATAAACAAAGCATAATGAGTTATTGTTATTTCAAACGTTATGGAATCGGTTATTAACTCACGTTCCAAGATGAGTTGGTAGTGAAGTATTCGATTCAATGGTTTTAGTAGCAGTTCACCAAGTGGGAGATAGCACAATTTCTGCTGTTCGAAATCTTTGTAGATCTGTTGGAATCGCTCGTCTGTTTCGAACATCTCGTTCATGCAATGCAAGATTTCAATGTGCGACTGTACATATTCATCGTAAACCGGCAACACTGCGATATTCTTCATCATCACATCGCCGATGCGATGGGTATCATGCGTTCCACGCCCCTCCCAAAGCACCATGCGATGCTCGATGTCGCGTAGAAATGTATTGTGATGCTGTGCCATGGAGTCGAAAAAATCGAATAGAGGTTGCAAGTTCTCCACATCTTGTGCAGAAAGTTCTTGGCGGAATGATCGATTTAGTATTTCTAAGTCATTTTTATATGTTCTCTCCGTCATGAGCAATTCCTTAGCTAAAAAGTATGATTTCTCTGTGGGCCATTTCTAATGAAATTACAATTATTTTCGTCCTTAAATGTCTTGAACACAATAATTGAAAATTAAATTAAAGGGAAACAATATCTTACTCTCTTCTTTGAGTCACTTTCGACATTCAATGAGCTGCCATTGTGCTGTCCGTTATTATTGTTTGACAAAGCTACACCCGTCGGCAGTTCGTGCCGCTTAGCGTGCTGTATCTCAGCTTGTATTACATCATATGTACCGGCTTCTGAACGGGATAATGACGATGATTTATCTGAGCCTAGCGTTAGATCATACCGATTTTGTGGTGTGCCCACTTCTCCGCGCCGATCCAGTGACATATTACCATTGATGCCGTGATAATCTGTGAACATTTTCGTTTTTATTAATATTTTTATTTATTTGTATGAATATATTTTGCAAATTTTATTTTCTAGCACATAAATAAGTATATCGTGGGTAATCAAGCTAGTTTATATTGAGTATCGAAGGAGCAACCTCTTTATTTAATTGACTGGATAAAAAGTAAAACATGTCATACAACTTATACAGTGATCACTACCTTAGTAAAGTTATTTTGCAACCCCACGATACGATTTTTTTTTGAAATAACACTGTAACTCTTCTTCTTCTTCAAAAAAATAGTAATAAAATGTCGAAAAAGAAAGGAAGTTTTTGAAATGCTATTGTAAACCGTATAGTAATTTTAGTAAACAGGTAATGGGGACAGCTATTTTATTTACCTTTCCCAACACAGTTACATTATTTAAACCTTCGGATAATAATTTCTTATATGCGAAGATATCTGGACGAAAGCTTCAGCTAAATTTAAGTTACCAGTAAAACTAAAAACTGAAGTGGTTTCATGATTTCGATCCAATATCGACCTTGCTGAAGATATTTCAATAGCTTTAGCTATCACACAGAAAAGTGGGAGGGAAAATATATGTAAATATCTCACTTATTTTCTTTAAACGCAATCCAAAAATGCAAAAGAACGAAACTGTCGCTATCTCTATTTTTATGATTCTTGAGCAAAATTAATATGCTAACACAAAATTTTGGAGTATTAATTCCAAAGAACTGCGTAATAGCACGTTTATTAATATGTTGAACGGTTTGCTCTGGTGTTTGAAATACCGCTGAAATCTCCACAGAGTTTTCGAAACATATAGGCTCATACGCACATCCCCACTAATAATGCACTAATGCACTTTCTTAAGACCTTAGCTAACATAAATACACTTGAGTTATACTCGGTCATACAGAAGAATTAAAACAAAAATCTATTATTTTATTTTATTATTTATTTTATGTAATCTTTAATGGAATCTTTATTAAGTTTGTAACATTTTTTGCTTTGAATTTGAAAGTGTTATGAGTTTCAATTAATAATTCACGACATTAGCTATATTATATGTATGTATGTTTGTGGTACAAATAACGTTCTGTGATCCAGTCGATTTTTGGAAATGTATCATGCAAAGTTGGAGAATTTCCAACTTCCGATTAATCAAATTGAATTAACAATAAATATTCGCAGTAAAATCCGCAATTAGAAGTTTTAATCAAAAGTTTTACGAATTTAAAATTATATTTATTAACCGACTGGACAACTTCGACTAAATTAAAGCGTTGTATTTATGTGTCTTGTGTGAGTGTGCTCTGTTTTGCTTAATACACTTAAATGCATAACTGACTTTCTATTTCGTCATCATTAACATCCTTAAGTAGTTGTGCCTTCACTTAACCTAATTTCTTTAAATTCTCCATATATTTTTTTTAGTAATTTCTTGTTTTTGTTTTAATATCTTTCAGAGTTTAGCACATGCATGTGACATCACTTTTAAACTACGAACAACAAAATACTCGTACATGGAATATTATGCGGTCAATATTGACAACAGATCATAAAATTTGGCACATTCAAATTATTTCAACGATTTTGATTCGAAATTTTGATATCCGTCTATCAGTTCAAAACTATCGTATTAAATTTACAAACATACAGATAGGTATAATCATTATATTTTACGTAAAATTGGTTGTATAATACATTTATGCATATTACATATGTATATACATATATAACTATATATACGCAGGATGGAAGTTCGGATTAGGAATTTCACAACTGGTTGTAATTCAACAAAATAGCAACTGTGTTAAAATAAAAATATATAGTTTCAAATATGCGATGAATAAATTTAAAATCACAACAAAAATGAAAACTAGCACAAAACTTCGCATTTTAAATAAATTTTAAAAGATAAATTCCAAAGTATCCTCAGTGAACAAAATATACGCTCAAATAACTCAACTTAAAACAGCCGTATTTCGTGGTCATTACTTAGAGTAGAGTAGAATAATGAAAAACAAACTTCTCTGTCCAATCCGCTGCAGTATCAAAGTGTTTGAATCAGTCAACCTCAGTAGGAAAACCTTTAAACACGGTTTTCTCGAAACATTTTGAAATTTGGGATACGCGGAGACTATTATATGTGTCCATTTTAAAATTTAGCTTTAGCTTTACAGTAATATTATCAAGTAAACTGCGTATGATTTTTTTATGTTTCATTCATTTATTTTTTTCGGTCAAAAATTGAACGTTTTTTTACATCCGCCATTTCGCGAAAAATTTATGTAGAGCTTAAATCATACCTACATACTTTTCTAGAAAGTCTTATGTAGATAAAGATTCTGTTTTATATTCTTTCAGATAACGCGAGTCGAAAAAGTTGACTCCAAAATGTGAGCCAATGTCGGACTTTTTTTTATCAAAATATCATAAATTTTTTTGTAAAATCAAAAACAATTTTATTAAAGTCTTAAAAATCGGAAATCGATTTTTTTGCCATACTCGTAGAATGAATTGTGAACGTTCAGCCATTTTTGAGAGCTCTAAACTGGCATATTTCCTTAAGCGAAAAATGGAAAACGTAAATGAATTGAACTTTTCGATAGCGCCTGTCAAAAAGCAACACGCATTTATCATCATTATTCAGTTTTCCCCTTTTTCAATATTTGCTTCTGTGTTAACATTGATTGCGAGGGCGATTGGGTTCTGGATAAGTGAAAGACTTTACAAACAAATTTAAAAAACACTTAATCGTAGTGAAAAAAGGTCATATAATGAAAAATGAATAAATGCTTGTAGAGGTGCGATATTTTGCCGTTAAGCAATTTTATAAAATATAATTTTTTGTGACTTAGGCAGTTAAATAATATAGCAAAAAGTTCTGAATTTCATGGCTACGCCCACGATGAGCAAGGAAAACCAGTCCCATACCGTAAATTTCCTGACCATTTTATATATACCAATAAATCTACGAATGTCGTATTTAAATTTTGTGGAAACAACAACGCCACCAACAGAGTCGTTTTAGGTGTTTATTATATTACATACATATTTTCATATATATGTATGTAAAAAGTTCTATTAAAACTTTAATATTCTCATGTTTCTTATATAAATTCTAAACAAAAAAACAACAAACCCAACGTATAAAAGAATCGGAAGTTTAAGAGTAGGTTACAGTAGTCCTTAACATGTTATTTGCTTTCAATGTTTCTAATTTACTAGGAAGCACTTTATTATGTATTTTCTTAAGGTATATATATACTTAAAAGCACATTCACTTTTCAATAAATTAATTAAATATTAAAAAAAAAATTAGACAAAAAACTTGGCACTCCACTAATAACTGGTAATTTATGTAATACTGCATTTGGCACCAGATTTATGTAATTATGGTATATATGTATAAAGACATACATATACCATATACTTGTAAAGTGAGTATTTTTAATACTTTGATTGCCCAACATCCCAAACTTTTGATGATTTCCAGAAAAATCCCAAAACTTTTGTTGCTTCTATGTGTGTCTGTATAACCAAATAGAAGATAATTATAAATTATGTGATTTTCTTTTTATTCTTCGGTGAAAAGCTGTGGGATTTCTTGGCAGTTTCTTAAATTTCTTATTTATTTATCACTCTCCGTTTTTGATTAATAACTCAATTTAACTAAAAGTTAAATACTTTTGCCAGCAAAACTCTCATTAGCTGGAGAAATGACAAGCAGCAAAGTTTAATATAACAATTTTCGTTTACAAGCAAATGAAAAATATTGACAGCTTCATATTGACATTCTAATAGGAAATTGTTTTTAAAACTGACTTCATTACATGTTACAATTTATCTCTTAAAATGCCAAAACTTGAGCTAAGATCAGGCAATTTAAAAATATTCAAGCATGAATTTTCCTAAATAATGCTTCTTGTATTTTGTATCGCATACTCACGTTCTCAACTTAATCTGGTAGCGCCATAATACATTAAGGAGAGTAACAATGTACGTGATCTCAAAATAAATGTGCATTTTCAATACTTGACCTTTTAAATCGAATATACATATAGGTATACAAGTATATGTATTAGCAATGTTCTTCCAAGGTTCTGTGTGTGTGTGTGTGAGTGTGTGCAATTAAGTTTCTTTATATGCATTTAGCTATCTTAAATGTCTTCAAGTTTTCTTCTTTGATTCAGAATTATTCGATGAGTAAACAGTGCATTAAAATGTAACATTTTTAGTACGATTATATTATATTTGTTGCTTTTACCAAGCTATTAGATAATCTCAACCTTTAACTTACAACAGATGTTGATGATTTTTGTATGTTTTTGATTTCGTTTTTAAATTATTTTTTTACTTTCCATCTTACAGGCTACTAGCGTTTTCCCAAAACTTCTACATAATGTACGATTATGTGGTTGTTGTTAAAAAAGTTTGGCCATTTTAAAATCAGGCAAATAAGGACTTTGATTAAAATTTCATATTTTCACTAGTTAGTTATTTAAAATTATTTTGTTTTAATATTTATAAACTTTATGGGGATTTGTCGAAAGCAAATTGGCTGCAGCAGTTCACACCATAAATCAGTCTCAATTGAATATAAGATGATTCGGAGAGTATTAGTCAATATTTTATAAACAAGTTCAGGATCGACTTTTGTTTGTGTAACAACTATGCTAATTTTCAAACGCGCCAACGCGTATGTTAGTATGCGTTGCACTTTACATTTGTTACTACCAATAAGTTTTGATTACAATGCCTTCTACATATTTATTTCAATTGCATAAGAGTACGTTTACACGAGTGCCATGTTGTTTCATACAAGTATATCATCAGTTTAGGGCTAAACTCAAATTCAAAACTCCATTATGTGGACATATTTCATTAGTGGTCGCTTAAATTATCCGAATCGTCAAACTTGGGCGGTGGATCAACGCGTATATCCAATCCGCATGCATAGCGTTCATATTCAATTGGTTCATTTTCATAGTCTGAGAGAAAGTCCGGGTACGGTAACTCGATATCGCCGCCGTATTGTGTATATGTGCCATCAGTGGTGTGTCTTATCATATCATTTGCCTGTGCAAATCCACTGCTTTCCTCGCTGGAATTTGCAAAGTCATCTGAGAGTCCATCTTTGCTCTCAACTTCACTGTCCTCGGGAGTGAGAAATGGTCGCATGTGGGCTTGCTCTGTCGTAAGCGTTATTTCAGGCTTTTCTACGGTAGCTTCACTTGCAACTGATTCCTCACGCTTTAGCTGGCGTTTTTTGGTACGAGCTGGTTTAACCGGTTGGCCATTTGACGGTGGCATTGGGTGATTGGCTGGAGCGGGTTTCGTTGCCACGTTCTGGCATGTCAGTGGTTGCATTAATTGTGTGTGATACATTGGATTAGTTATGTGACTTAAACGGTCGTAGCGTGGAAAGCCCATTTCATCTACATTGTCCGTCATGTCCAAACTTTCAAACTTGCTGGACGTGGGGTACGCAGCGCCAGAATATTGAGGATAATCATCGTACTCGTCGGTCTCTTGCTCGTGTTCTAATTCTTCGTCGAATTCCAAATACTGATCTTCTGGTCGGTATGAGGGATCGGAACTACCAGAGTCAATTTCTGGTAAATAACCTTCTGAGCATTCGGAGCTCTCTTGTTCTATTAAAGCACGCTCCGTCGATCGCATTCTTTTGGTCGGCACTTGTCGTTTTCGACGGTATCCTTTGTTACGCAGTTTTGGATCCTGTGTGCGTATGTCCATAGAGCTATCAGTGTCATTGCCGCTTGGTGGACTCTTAATCATGGTATTCCGTGTAATTGAACTTTTTCGTGGTGGTTTTTGTACCAATTGATTTGGTGGCGATTCCGAGCTCAAGCTACTTGAATAATATGGTGAGCATTTAACGAGCTTTTCTGCTCGTGGTGGTAACATAGGTGACGACGTTTCGGTACTTGTGGTAGTTTCACTGTAATTGGTGACTGTTGTGGTGGCTGACGATACACAGTTTCCTTCACCGCCAAGCGACAACTCTTCGTCGATACGCGGTGGCATTGACTCTTGCGAAGATTGCTGTGACTTCGACAACATGTGCTCATGAAAAGAGTTTGATTGTCGAAGTTTGTTGGTTTTATATTCTCGTATTTGTGATTTAGACATGGTTTTATCGTCATAGCTATGATGCTTCGCGAGTGGCTTATCAGGAAGTTGACCTACCGAATTAGTTCGTGGTAAATCGTTTGGTGACGTAATGGGTGGTATATTTGGTATAGGTGGCGGAGGAGCTTTCATGGAAGCGCTTACTTGCGACGATGTCGATGCTCCAGATGTGGAAGCTGATACGGAAGTTTCCTCAGCTTTACTAACTGCTTTCATATGCTTTAACAAGGCTTGCATCAATGGCCGTGTTACTTGAGGCTTGGGCTTTGTCGGTGGCTGCGGTGCTCTTGGTTTTATCGGTGGCGGAGGAGCTTTAGACTTTTGAGTTGTTGAAGCATTTGCTTGTTGAGCCTGCGTCGTGGCTCCATGTAACGGAACGAATTCCTGACTTTGATAACGTTCTGTTAGCTTTTCACTAGGAGAATATAACCGCTCTACAAACGGAGCTTCACTTTCCGAAGAAATATCTTGACTTTGGTACAGCTTCGACATCATTTCCAGTGACCGTCGTTTTCGTGCAGCACTTGTATGCTCTGTAGCAACTTCTCTCTCATCCAATTTGATTAAACGGGATAATGAATTCTGCCGTCCGTGGTCACCTAATTTTGGAGTGGCTCCTTTCTGTCCCGTTTCATCTAAAGTAGTGCGATTATTATTGCCATTACTCGCACTCCTGCGATGTACTTGCGGAATAACAGTACGCAACTCTTCACTGGGAGACTTTTTCGAAATTCCTCGCGGTTGTTTCAATGGTACATAGTCTATAAAGCTGCTTCTTCTACCGTTTCTTGAATCCTGAGGGTTTTCTCCAGGTTGAGATGCCACCAAAGTGCGGCTGCTTGATGTAGACCACTCAGTCATTGTTTGAGCCATTTCTGTTAGCGTCAATGTAGTGTCGTCACTTTTTGTCGCCGAAGTAGCTTCAGACATTTTTTCTGTTTCAGAGTTTGATAATATATCATAGCGCATACCATCAGATGAACCATTGTCACCAGAAAGTCCTTTTGAAAAACTTCCACTTTGTTCATTTAAGCTCTCGGCCGATTTGTTTATTGAGCTCATGCTAGATTTTGTATGATTCGACTTCTCACTTTTCGCACATGATTGGGTTGATACTGCCGAAAGACTATCTGATCCGGAGAGATTCGCGTATTGGCGGACTGTGTTTGTGCCCGTTGACCATTCAGAAATGCTCAATCCAATCGATGTGTCCTCCGAATGGGAGCTATGTGTACATTTCTTCTGTTGTAAACCCATGCGCACCGTGCCGTCTAAATCAGTTCCAATAGAACTTGTCTCCTCTTCGGAATGACTAGAATGACTGCACTTTTTATAAGAACCCGTACTAAGACGTGATTCATAATTACGCCGTACTGTAGTCTGGTCCTCCATAAATGTCCCAGATGTTGATAAAATATCATCAATAGAGGTATCAGAGTTATTTGAACCTCGAGACAACTTTCGCAAATATTCGGTTGTACGATTTTCATCTGTTGGTAATTGAATTTTTACAGTGCCTGGCATAAATACGTCATCACTTGATAAAACCTCATCCTCGGAAATTGGACTTCGGATGGTTGGCGAGCGTGTTGGTTGGGATATGATTACCGAGTCGGGGCTAGAATCTTTCCGAATAGGAGAGATTTGAGTTGATTTTTGCGAGGATGAACAAGTTACATTAAATGAAGACGAGAGGCAAGATGCCGCACTCAACGTTGAACTTAAGCATGTTGGAGTGTCGTGTTGAGTATCCTCATTACCGAAATCTTTATCTTCAAATGCTGCCGACATTAAATATGCCGTATCCTCGTAAGATAAAACTTTCGCCACGTCAGGGGGAGTTATTGGGAAGTCTTCATTGGAGAGCCTATCGTCGGCTTGTGATTGCACGTCATCATCTGTCTTATCGGTTGCTGTGAAAGACTCAACCATTACCTGATCAGCACTTTGTGCCTCCGTGGCATAATATGTTTCAATATCTTCAATTATCAATGGAGGTTCCATAGCACTTGGCGGCGGAGAAGGCCAATCCTGCGAATCTTGCGATTGGAATGACTTACTAGCTTTCCAACAAAATGTCTTCGGCACAGGTTTATCCAGATCGGGCATTTGATAGATAGACTCCACCGGTTTTACTGGTACATGATCGAAGGGTATTTCAGGAAGTGGCCAATCTTCTGAATCTTGGCTTCCTGCATTTGAAAGACACATAAGTGTGTGTCTGTCTACATCATCGCCTTGTTGCTCTTCAACTTGAGTGACAGAAAAGCGTCCAGTTACAACAATTGGAGATTTCGGTTCGTTAAAGCTACCTATGCTAGAAAGTCGATCCCCAGTTGCAGAGTCACAGGGAATTTCTGGCATCTCGGCCGATGTACGTCGATCGGCATCTGATATATAAGCCAAATTGGTATTGCTTCGAGAATCTGAACTTAAACTTGGTTGGTGATCTGTGGAACCAACAGATTCGTCTCGCATACTTACAGAATGAGTAGATGCCTTACTAACATCGTCTTCCATACTAGATTTTTCTGAAGCTGTACTACGCTCAGATATCCGAGATAAAGTTCTTCCCAAAGTAAAACCGGTAGTATAACCAATTATATCCGTTGGGTTTACTCCGATTCCACCTAATGAGCTTGTCATCGAAGGATACCCAAATGTAGTTGGGAAATCATTTAATTCATCTTGAAAACTTGTGTCACTTTCCTTTTGGTCATCTGGTGACACCTCTTTTAAATCGCTGTCAGAAGAATCGCGTAAGGGATTGTTAGCATCGTATCGCTCGTAACCATCAGTTTCAATGTGGTGCCAAGGGTCATCTGTACTAGAGCTGCCAGAGCTTTCTATGGGAAAGGGCTTCCATGTTGTTTGTTGTTCTTTCTGTACTAATTCTCCTCTGCGATGTGCCGCGCCCATTGAACCAGAGCTGCTTTCAGTCTCAAAGGATCCACGTGATTCCACACTTAACGATCCTTTTGAGTCAAAACTTGACTTTGATTCCTGTGAACTACTTCCAGATTTTCCAGTCTTATCACCACCATCCGTTTTGACTACCGCCAGTTTTTTACCGATGTTAGTACGTGCAGGTTTTTCAATTTTTGGTGGTTTTTTCGAGGTACCAGAACTAGATTCACTATCCTCATTTCGTTGAAGAAGCTTTGTTAGTTTTTCATCAATTGGATCCAAAAAGCTTTCAGTGCTTATGCCCAAATCTATTGGACTTTGTTTCTCTAAAGTTGGGGTTGTTGGTTTCTTTACTATTATTTTTGGCTCGTTGGTTGGTGTAGTTTCATTGGAACCGGTAGGACTACTTTTAGCCAAAATAGCTGTTTCTCCTGCATCTCCTTCATTACCAACTTCTAATTTTAACATTCTTTGTTTAAGTTCTAGACATTTCTTTTCTTCAATGTCTCCGAAATCTTGGGAAATTCCCAAAGGTCTTGCGATTGAGCAGCTTACACTAGACTCTTCGTCCATAGAACTTTTCTCCTTTCCACCACTTACAGATAAACTCCAATCATGATGATGTTCACTGCGATGCGGACTAACATCCTTTTCTCCACTTGTCCAAGAGTCGGAACTTTTAGATTTGTCGCTTTGTTTTTCCAAGCTATGTTTCTTCTTAGTTTCGGATTTTTCAGCTTGTTTTTCAAATGTTTCTAAAACAGATTTCTCAATCATTGGACTCGTATTTGGTGGAGTTACTAAAATATTTAAATCAGATGTGGGTGTAGCACAATTGGAATATTCCAACGGAATAGCATCCTCCAAGGTTGCTTGTGTCTCTAATATGTTACGATCTGGCTCCAATGTACGAGGTTCATTATCAGATGTATCTGAACCAACAAATTCATCACACTCAACAGTTATCCAAGAGCCTGTCTCATCGCTACGACTACGATCCAAACTTAATCGATTTGTGTCTTGACGAGACACTTTTAAATGACGACATTCTCCCGAATTATCATCTTCTTCAATAGACGGTTCTTCGCATTCAATGGTTGGTACACGGTGCGGATAAACTTCTGGTGGAACTGGAGATTTGCTCGCTGGTGAATGACTATCATCCGCTGACACAAATGAATCCAAACTCTCCGCCGTGGATGGTTTACGGCTGTAGGTACCATCACTTTCTTTTGTATCTTCCGATGGCAAAGATCTCTTTAGTATTTCTAATGACCGTCTTTCCGAAATAACCGCTTGCATATCTATATCCTCATGAACATTGTACTGATGTGCGAACATGCGTCGATCACCAATGGCACTTCGTGTGGTTGTTTTTTCGTCGAATTTCTTTGGTTCTGCAGTTGGTGCCGGTTTTTTATCATCAAGACTTTTTGCCTTGATATCAGTTCCCAAATAATGATGTTCAGAAGGTTTCTCCAAACTACTAGACTTACCATCAATTTTTTTATGCACAACACTTCCTTCAATTTTTTGTTTAATCTCTTGGCTTTTGGCTATTTTCTTAGGTGACTTAATTACCATGTCATCTGGTACGTCTGATTTTTCCGATTCTTCGAAGGATTTATTACGATCTTCAAAGCTGCGATTGGCTTTGTCTAATTTGTCTGGGCTGCGCCCTTCATCGAAGCTGCGACTAAATTTCACTAACGAGGTGTCCAACTTTCGTGGAGATTTCGCTATTAAAACATGATCTTCAGCCTTGCTCTTAAACTCTGTTTCAATTATAATTTTATCTCCATCAGTCTTCACTGAGATTTTATCTTCAGGTGCTGGGAATGGTGGCAGTGAATCTTTAACAGGGCTAAGCATAGTTATGGTCTGTTTCATAGCAGACTCATATAATTTTTGTTGTCGTTCTTTTCGTTTAGCAATATCTGCTTCTGTTTCCTCTTGAGACTTGCTTTTATCCTTGCTCAGGCGACGAGCTTCAATAGAACGAGGACGTTCTTTTGGACTCGATTTTTTTCCTTTTACATCTTTTGCCTTACTATCATCTATGCTGGTACGTCGAGATTCTGGACGACTTCGCGATGTTCCTGCCTTTAATTTAGTACTCTCTGGAGACTTTGGTCCAATTTTAAATTTGCCTTTGCCAGTACTTTCAATACTACTAGCTCGCGAAACTCCCGGAGATGTTTTTCGAGAACTATTGGCTGAGCTATAGGGCGACCAATCAGTGAAACGATACTTAGGTATATCCAATATTAAATGATCCCCACTCCTGAGTCTCATCTTCGATTTTTTCTTTGCTTTTATTTTGACACCTTGCAATGCAATTTTCTCAATAAACTTGAGCTGATTTAACAACTGTATCTCTTCCTCATCAATGGATACTGTATTCAGTAAAGAATCTTTTCCTGCAGTATGATAACTCGCTTGTGTCGGTATAGAACCAGCGCAAGAGTGTATGCTGTCAGCAGTATCATCATCTTGTTGAACACCACTTCCTCGTTCCAGTGATTTTTCTTCTAATATTTCAGCTTCTTCCTCAAATCCAACTGTATCATCTTTGGATGAAAATGCGTTCATAGGTGGAAGTCGGTGTAGTGATATGACTGGGGTATCTAGGCTCTTAGTCCGTCTCTCGGTTGTTGGTGACTCTTGCGTAGCTTTTTGTCGCTGAAGTGATACCGAGCCTTCGGACAAATTGAGACGGGCATGTGCGAAGAGAATCGGTGCATGACCTTTAGATCGCATCACTATTGAAGAATCTATGATTTCTTCAATAAATTTGGTTTTTGATTTTGGCATTTCAGTGCGTGGTGATGATTTCTTCTTAAGAGTATAATCAATATCTGATTCCGTTATTTTTTCCTCTTGACAAGTTTCGTAAATATCATCATTACTGCGGAAAAACTCGGCGTGTTCTAATATTGGCGACGGAATATTTTCGTTGCGTTGATAATCGTTAGTGCACTCATCCATACGTCTGGTTGGAATGTGCAGTGGCTCGTCTTCTGAGGACGGAATGGAAATCGATCTCTCAGAAATTCGTCTTAATTCTGTGGTATTGGCATATTGCGGATCAAGTTTTTGTGTATGATAACGACTTTCCAGTTCAGCAAGCCGACGGCATTGTGGCGGTGACCCCTCAATTTCAGTTGAGCTCATAGTCTGTCCACGACCCCATGCAGCCGATATCAAACGGCTTTGTTCAATGCGCAATATTGGTTCTATTTCTTTACGTGACTGAGGAGGTGAAAACTCAAGTCTAGCGGGTATGGCTTCAGCCGAACCAAACACATCGTCTGAGTCCAAACTTTCATCGTCGGAGGAGAACGATGTTATGCGAGTTTTGGCTTTCTTGGGCTTGTTAGAAATTTTTGTTTTTGGTATTATACGCGGCTTTACTACTTTTCTAGTATTGGCTTGTAGTTCTTTTCGGAGATTCTGTATAAGTTCTATTTGCTTTTGCTCAAGTTTATTTTTTTGTTGTTGTATACTTTCGGTTCGAGATGAAGTTGCGGAATCACTTTCGATTTGGCTGAGTTTTTTATTTAGTTTCTCCAACAAAGATGGATCCATTTGTTTAGTAATATCTCGCTTTGGTGAAGATAATTCGATAGTCGGTATAGACTTATTAACTTCCAAAGTTATGGGATCAACTTTAGAGAGATCAATGTTTTGAGTAAATAGAAATTCTTTGGTTTCTGCTGGCAACAAACTGCCCAGTATGTCCGGTAGAAAATCAGCGACTTGACTAACTGAGGTCACGGATTTTGTAGCTTCGGCTTTTGGTGATTTCGGAGATTTTGGCGATTTTGGAGACTTAGGTGATTTCGGCGATTTTGGTTTTGTGTGTTTCTTTTCACCCAGTGAAGGAGCTGTGCCATTCATTATATGACGCTTATGTAAAACGTATGGTATATCGTCTTTCAATACTTTTGGAAAACGTCTGTCATACTCTCTGAAAAAACTCTTTGGCAATTCAAAACCTGTTTTTGGAATATCAGTCAAAACTGGGGGCACGTCGAAACACTTTGGAATCTCAAAATTACCATGTGCCTTGCAAAGTGGTGGAGCACTCGGTATTTGTTTGTAGATATAATCTTCATCACTAGAATCGGCCGGAGTTAAGTCTATGGACTTCTGATGCATCAACACATGACGACGAGAGTTGCTACCAAGACGCGCGCGATTAGCTAATGAATTGGGATCACTTTTAGTGCGCTCCACTGTAGCATGTGAATAATTAAGAGGAGCCATAATCGGATTGTACTCTTCAAAGTGGGTTTTAGCCATCAACTCCTCTTTACGAGTTACTTTTTGCTTAGCAGCACGCGCTTGTTGTTTTTCGAATTCTGAAACTAGTTCTGGTGTTAAGGGGTACTCTGGGCTTTGTTTAGTCTTTTCTTCTTTGCCTTGTACTTCCCACTGTTTGGTATAATTCTGAATGCATTCAATGCGATCCTGGTCGAAGCTGAAAATATTTTCACTGTCTGAACGTCGTCGGAACGCAGAAATTTTTGAGGACTGCGAGTCAACTTTTTTAATTGGTGCAGTCTGATCAATAGAGTCGTTGGTCTGGATTTCTTTTTCTTTGCATTTCTTACCTGATGCCGGTGTCGATGCTGCATCTGGTGATTTGCTTCCAAATGATTTAGTATTCCTCTCAATTTCCACATTTTGGAGACTGATCGAATGTACTTTAGATGTTTTGTGTGACTTGTTGCTCGGAAACGTTGAATATGTGTCACGACTGTCGTAGAACGAGCTGTTTGCTGTCGAGCTGTGTGTGTCAGACAATAAACAATCGTGGCTTTTTACTTTTGGCCGTCCGCAAAGGCTATCAGTTTCAACACCTTCCACGGCATCGTAGTAATCACTCTTTGACTCTTGACTGGATTGCTGGTATTTTTCATATTGATCCTTTTTATTTAAATGCTTTAGCTTCTTTCCCGTGGTGGTTGGCATTTCATAGTTGCGGCCGAAACAGTCACCTATTAATGATTCTTTCGAGTCTTGACTAGATGCCACTGACGTCTTGCTCTTGGTTGTCTCACGTGACTTTTTGCTGTCGGTGTGGTACAAACTGTCACGCGATTTTTTGCTAGAGTCTGAACTACGTGACACTTTCGTCTCAAAAACTTCACTCCGACTCTCTTGACTAGAAGTGCGAGAAAGGGCTTCTTTGACCTTTTTATAAAAGCTCCCATCCGACTTCACACATAACTTCTCACGTGGCAAGTACCGTGGATCTTCCGAGTCCCAAATTTCATTCATAATATCAACGGCCGACTTACATTTGACATCCATAGCTGAACGATATTTATGCTGTTCCGAAACTGACTCATCATCACTCGGTATGTAGTTACCTGAATCGAGCGAACACGAGCGCATATGGTCATCTGATCGGCGACGACCACTAAAAAAGTCAATGTCATATTTTTCAAGTAGTTCATAACTATCCTGTGAAATATCGTCTTGGGAACCGCCATAGTCAATTTGGTGTCCGTAAACACGCTTGTTCTGGTGATTTTGAGTATTATATGTACTGCCTGGGTAGCTTGAGGAATAAACTTTTGAGTTGGGCAATGGGGAAAAGTCTTGAGTCGCATCAATTGAATGGTTTTTGGTAATATACAATGAATGTCTCGAATCATCGTAACGGGTAACGGGAGAGTCAATACGATTAAACGAGAGGAACTCCTTGTCGAAAGCAGTCATTGGCTTGGACTTTTCGCTTTCATAAAACGAAGAGAAATCATATAGATCTTTGCATGAACTACTCTTCAACCAGGACTCCTTCTCAACTTGGTCGTAAATGTTCTCCCCATCATATGCCTCCTTATTATACTGACTTGTAGAGTACAAGTTGCCGGAAGATATTTCAAATTCAAGTTTTTCCGACGAAGTCTTAAAACGATTCAAGGGGGAACCAGCGATGCTGCGTTCCTCAGCCGAACTGACCGGCTTACTATCGTTGAATACTAAATAACTGTTTGTAATATTCGTATTGGGACGCAAGTTGCCAATCGAATGAGCATGATGAGTAATGTAGTGACTGTCATAGGAATCCACTGAGTCTACACCGGAAAGTTCGGAGTTGCGAGGCAGTGAATGCGTATGGCGTCGTGTCGTTGAGCTTCCTATGCCCGACACAAAACTCTGTGGGTCCATTGACGGTGTGAGATAGTTTTCGGAATGAGTTAGTTTACCACGCTCTGCGGTCGCATAGCGTTTACTACCGAACCCAGTTCCGAAATATGACGAAGACGAGTCAGACGGATGATTCAAGTCATTATGATATTGATAATTAAGACCCAAAAACCCGCGTTCAGATTCGAAATGACCGTTTTGCTCTTGCGCATCAGTCATACCGATTTGTTTAACTCGTGTGTACTGTAATATAGATTCATCAATAAACTCATCACTAAAGTGTTTCTCACGTGATTTGGATTTAGTTTTGCGATTAACGGTTGCATAAATGTCGTTACGATCATTCAGATTTAAATTTTCGGAATTGGATATTTTATTTTCGGGTTTGGGAATAATACTTGTAAAGTCTGGATATTTATAATGTCCAATGTCGTTTATGTCGGTGTATATAATGTTATCTGTTTCGGTTTCAGTTGAGTTATTATTATTAAGCAAACACTGTTTAGACATCGAATAATTGGTACTGCTATAATGGACTGGGGTGACAGTTTGCGATTGGGACTCCTGTGACCGAAGCTGCTGATGAAGGACAGGGCCCGGTGCCGCTGATACCATACTCTCCCGATTGGTTGTAGATGCTGTCAAGTCCGAATCCGCTTCCTCCTCGACTAATTCTTCCTCCTCCTCCAAATCCTCCTCCTGTTCCAACTCCATAGAGCTGCTGAGATCCACCGATAGACCCACTGTGTTGGTTGTGATAGTGTTGATGGTGTTGCTGTTGCTGGTGTTGGTGTGCATGAGCTGCGGCGACACAGGGACATACGCTTGAGATGCCACTGAGACTCGACGAGGGGTGCTGCTGCTGTATAAGTGGGACAAGTGGCTCAGACCTACACCAAGATGCATCAATACACCAAATCGATGATTTCGTAGAGCACAACGAGATTTTAAGAAATATACAGTTAGGCAATGCAATCCCAAGATATATTTCAAAAGATATCAATACAAACCATAAATATGTAACCGAAAATCACGAAATTAATATCCATGCACATACACTTATTTTTCTATTAAAAGTATTTAAAATCAGGGTCTCAACACAGGTATAACATATGAATGTATATGTCAAAACATAAAGAAGAAATAATTGCCGACTTTTGAATAAATACCAAAACAATATTAGATAACCATATTGAAATATAATCAAATTGAAAACTGTCATGAAAATCATACTATAAGAAAATATCGCTTCCGAATGTACGCAACTTGCTTTTTTATTTTTTGTTGAAACTTTCCAACTTCACCCCAGTTAGAGGCTACTGCCTGTCTAAAAATATCAAATTAATTCAACTCACAACAAATATATATTCAATTATAAGTAGTCAAATAAATCACCGGGTAAATGTAAATTTAACATTTTCAATAATAGAACAACAAATTAAATACTACAACTGAGAACTCGTCTGCACTACTATATTTTGATATGTTAGACTCACCTAAATTGTGATCTCCTTGATGCGCACGAGCCTGATCTTGGGCGCGTATATTGTTGTGTTGCTGACTGCTGTGGTTGAGCGAATTCCACGATTCCGGACCCTGAGGAGAGACAGAGCGGTTCGAATTCATTTGGTCCATAGCCGCTGCCGAGTGGTGTTGCTGTTCCTCCGGCAATGTTGGCGATTCCGGAGCATAATTCTTCGTCTGATAGATCTCCACCTGGGCTGCTGTGACCTAGATGCACATCGTGGATACAAATAAATTGATATTGAACAACAAAAAAAAAAACAATGTTATTTACTTGAGAACGCGTGTGGTCTGTAGGATTGTCTTGTCGGCGATCCAAGGTATCCGCTGCCTTCTTCGTCAGAGAAAGCGTCGTCGAGGCGGTGCATTGATTGCGATAATCCCAGTCCGCTTTAGTGCGCAACAATAATATAAGAATTAAAATAGGAATAATTGATTTATATACAATATGAACTAAGTTGTTTAATATAATACGATAACATTAAATAGCAAATGTTACTTGCAAATATCTAATACACATATTACTAAAGAAACGAACAGAAAAATCTTAAATGAAAAACACAAAATCTTAAAACAATACAAACCAGTGTCAATTGGGAGAAGGGGATTGGCTGAAATGCTGGAGTTCACATACGTATGCGACTGACTTCGGCTACTAGCATTCAAAGGCCCTTGCCGGAATGACTGTGACCTGCAGCAAAAGAAAAGACAAGAGGATACCACGTTTTTATTTGCATGCTCGTTTATGTTGTTGTTTTATTGTAATTCCTTTTTATTTAGATTCAAATTCTTTCTCTTTTTATTTTGTGTTTTTTTAATTTTCATTTATAACATTTTAGTTGTAAAACGTCTCATTATCTTTTCTAGTTTATGAAGAAATCTACAGAACGCTTATTAACAAGAAAATTAACAAATAAAATTAATCAGAAAATAAATGACAACAAAATAAAATACAAAAAAGAAATAATTAGCTATAACTAAGGAGATAAAAAAGAACCCATCCTTTTAGATATAAACCAGTTGCATTGAAATTATGAACTTAACCCTGTACACAATCAAAAGTGTAAACAGAAATCATTAATTGAAGCTTTAGTTTCCAGAAACCGAAGATAAGATTATATAAAAGTAATAGCATAAAACAGAAGCTCATCTGCGCATTTAGATTAATAATCTCTTTAAAATAAAGGTTTGTTTATAATCTAGTAGCATGTACAGCTAGACGAACATATTAAATAAAAATAAAAACATTTACGACATTAAAAATCTAACTAAGTAATGAAAATATATTAACTGATGCATTCACATACAAGCTTGTGTATAAAATTATACACTTCCACATTTAATTACATGCAAATAGTAGTTAGTTTAAAAATAAATAAAACCGAAAATAATACAGCGAGAAATACTAAACTATTCAGTTATGACATTAAATAAAAAGGTTTCAAATTTATTTTTATTAATGTTTCTTATAATCTCACACGCTTCGCACACCAAAATATTATTCGACTTCGATAATGTTTCGCCATCTTTAGACTTATTATAACTACATAAGAGATAATTTGCTGCAAATTCCAGCAAAAATAGAATTCATTTATAACAAGTATTCCGAAAAAATATATCAAAAAAGGTTGAGGATATTTGGTAAACCCTAGAAAGATAATTTCCGAAAAAAGTAGTATTTTAAAAGTGAGTATTTCGAAGTTTGAAACAATTGTAGTTACCAATATTGTAACTGATTGATATTTGTACTTTATAGAAAACCTTAAAGTAAATTTAAAAAACTATTTAGTTAGTTGAGGTTTCTCTCTGATGGATAGGTTAAAAATACAGACACAGGGTTGTTGAGCAAATATACAACATCCGCAACACAAAATATTGTTTTAGTAGCAATGGCCACACTTAGGAGATGTAATAATATCCCTTAAATATAGTCTGAAATTGATTGGTATAATCATTTTGACTTCATATTTCTTTCAAAACATTTTATTACTCTACAAATATATATTAATGAGTAAAGCTTCAGTTACTATTTAAGCCTCAAGTTGTATAAACAATGAATTGAAATTAATTAAATTAGAGCCGTAAATATTGCATATATCAGCTGGTGTTTTTAAGCAGTTTTGTAGCTGAACATTTTCCTAAATTTGGTTTTATATTTGAGGGATATAGACATTTAAAATAAAACAAATATATTATTATCATGAAATCATCTAATTATACTAATATAAGGGGTTAGGAATGGTCAAAATTAAAAAAAAAAAAGATTTTATGTTTTGCATTTTTTTAAGTATAAAATCTTCGAAATATTCTCTTAAAATTTGAATTAAATTCAACAAATTAACTTCGAGTTATTCGATAATTAGGTTCTCGGGCGCTCAAAACGTTTGAGAGCAGGTAGCTTGTAGCAGCTGCAACTTAAAATGCGTTTTTCTCAAAACTATGTTTTTTGAACTGGTGAGCACTGTAGCTCGAAAAGCGCTCGGTAGATTTCAATGAAATTTTTACAGCTTTTGGAAAACATGAAAAAAGTACCTGGCCGAAGAATTTTCTTTTATTTTGATTTTTTATAAACAATTAACTATTGGTTTTTTTCCGTAAATCTGGAAAAAATTTTCCTCAGGCCGCCATTTTGTTAGTTAAAAAAAGGTTCGAAAAGGAACTAGATTATCTACTAACAAAAAATTTTTTTTGACTAATTGTTTTTATAAGAATCTCCAAAGACTAGTGATGATCACCTTGAAACTGGATCAACATATCCATTACTTTTAAAATTATGAATTCTGTTTTTCAAATGGTGTCAAGTTAAGTCGACGCCTTATTTAATAATGCTATGATTCTACTTTTATCAAATAAATTAATTTACGGGTAAAAAATTTATTTAATATTCTAATTTTTTCATTTCACTGACTACACCTAACCCTATAATATAATTATACATAATTTTTTCTCCAATAATAAAATTAAATTGTAATAATCAATTGGGACTCATGCGTCAAATTTTGAAGTTCATAACATTCAAAGGTAAAACATAATTGTATTACGATGTAAGATTCCACCATATAGTTACTACACCAATCAAAGATAATTTAATTATTTACAAATATATAAATGAACATTGCTACAAAAATAATACTTTTTCTAATTTACTAAAATTAGTTAATTAGATCTTAAGTTATATCCACAAACACACTCACTGAGAACTAAAAATAAATATTTCAGATGATATGTATGAGTATGATAGTTTGGGAGACAATTAATAATACTGTAAAATTAATATTAACCGTAACTAGTTTGCCAATCAACATACAAAAAACATTAAAAATATTAAATTTATATACACAGAATACAAATAAAATGAGTTTTCAAAACTATTGCAAAATTGAAAATAAAATATTTTTAAATAAACAAGAGATTCAACAAAAATGTAACTCGATGTTTATACATTATGTAGTTAAATTTCATTTTCAAGCACATTATTATATATTTTACAACCAATTCGCTTTAAAATCCTCTTCTCTTTTCTGAGTTCTCTATTGCATTAAACTCAGTGATGCAACTTCTCTTAAGTTGATCAACACTGTTATATATTGATAAATTTTGAGTTATAATAACTGTAAAGTACGAATGAATAGTAAGCCGAGTTTACGTATTATGTGCGTGTTCGTACATACGAGCCGCAACTATACGAATACATGGATAGTGGGTAAATCAAGTGTTTCAAAGCAAAATAACGTTAAAATAAATGGAGTATGCAGTATGTTTTATGACTTTATATTAAATGAAGTGATATGGAATTAATATAAGCAACAAATAAGTGTTTTGATATTATTAGTTTAGCAAATGAAACACACATAGAAATATTATTAAAATAGTACTAAAGAATTATAATATATATTGTATTATACAATAATTCCCCTTGTACTTTAGTGTTGAATGCAATTACATTTATGTTATCAATTTTATGAATAACAAAACTTTTTTGGATATCAGGAACCGTTATGATCACAACGAACTTCGAAATAGTAAACTTGAATCGAAATATTTTTATTTTTACATTTCAGAAGGTAAGTGTTCGTAATGATCCTTCTTCTCTGACATAAAGTAAAAAATTACATACTCAAATCAAAATGTTCTAAATAAAAAATTTAAATAAATCATATTTTAGACTTACCTTTGGAAGTTTTGTCGTTTTACATAATTCTCACGAACAAATTCGATAATTTGCTTCTGTGTTTTGCCGCTATAGCTGTAATATTGGAAATAAATATCAATTAGAAAGAGTTAAAATTTCATAACATATATAGTACAACCGGAAGGAGCTGCCACGCGATAACACCCGAGCTTTTCGTCTAGGCTGATTCTGCACTGCAGCACAACGGAAGAACCCGTGATTCTCTACACATTTCTTCCAAAAGTTTTTACACTCATTACGACCCTCAAAGAAAAATTCCACGGTGTCTTTGTAATACCCCTTCAGATATTAGAAAGAACAAATGTAAATTATCATTATAATTATAAAAAGTGTTTTTTATATGAGCTTACATATCCTTCGGGATGGAGCTTCACCAGGAACCGTTTACGCTTAAATGATATCTTACGTATTTTAGCCCAGGAGAAGGTATTAATGCGCGTGATATTTTGGAAGACAGCAATTCCCATGTGAGCTACTGCTAAATTCAAGGGAACACCCTCCACATCTTTCGCTGGATGCATTTTCATTCCATAAAGTTCACACCGCCTTGCCGTTTCCAGCAGATTTAAATCGGCCTCAGCAGGAGACTGACCCCTATTATATTTGGAAAAACATTTTAACACACATTAAATGAAATTAAATAGCAATAAATTATTTCTAAAGGAAGATGGAGTATTCAGGAGAATATAACAAATAAAAATATGATTGAACTTAGCCCTTCTTTAATTGTTTAATATTTTCTTTATAATTTTTTTTTTTAATATAATGAGTTGATTAATTTTTGTTCTTAGTATAAAATTAATTAATCCCGTCTTTTTTGCCTTAAATTAAAATTTTATAAATACGTTGTTGGGTTTTACTTTTTAACACATCTCTTTAACAAAAATAAAACTTTTTACACTGAACAGCGTATATTAAGTTTGAAACGAAGTTTGTAACACCCAGAAGGAATCGTCGGAGACCCTATAAAAAATATTCATGAATGGTCAGCACGATGAGCTGAGTTGATCTAGCCATGTCCGTCTGTCTGTCTGTATATACGCGAACTAGTCCCTCAGTTTTTAAGCGATTTAAAATTTTAAAACTGTCCTTTCCTCACTAAGTAGCTGCTCATTTGTTGGAACGCCCGATATCGGACCACTAAAGCGTATAGCTGCCATATAAACTGAACAATCGGAATAATAAAGGTATCTTCACGAAATTAGATGTTAGAGTTAACGTTTTTTCTTGTTTTGATTTTTATTATTTGTACTTCATAGAAAATCTTTCATGAAATTAATATATTATTGTAAATTGGCATATATTTCCGAACGCTCTAAAAGGCGATAAAAAATAAAGCAAACAAGTAATAAATCTACATTTTTTTTAACTGATTTTAAAAATATTTGTAAATTTCATCAGTTTCTAATCTAACAGACAGCAATATCAGATAAATATCCACAAATTCATATGCATGTGTATATTCATTGAACAAAAGTCTACACAATGCGTCATTTTCTTTACTCCTTCACTGGTAGTTCATCTTCAAATTGACATTTAACTAACACAAATACATCGCCACTCAAAATAAATTGTACATACACATGCTTCTTGTGATTCTCCATGATTTTTCGCTGCATGGTAGCATCCTGATGAGGTACGAAACGATACGATGACAAATAGGTGTGATCAGGATAATCCTCAGGCACATAATCGCCACATGATGCTTGCACTATGTAACTGGCCATTAGAGCTGCGGTATTGTCGTTGCACTGCAAATTGCCGTTGGCCAAGTCCCGTTTAATTTGCAAACAAAAGAGATACCTAAAAAGAAAGAAAGAGAATTCATATTGGTCAGAGTAGAGAAAGTGCAATAGTTATGCATAGTGTAGACGGCTGCATATGTAAATAGACAAGCAGATATACGATACGGTACATATTTAGTGCTTGTTCGATAGAACAATCAACTTTTCGATGGTGTTACAATTTTTGGGGTCCACTTACCTCGTGTATTCTTCCTCAAGTTGTGCTGGATCAGGAGTGTAGAATTTAACGCAGAAACGAAGCACAGGATCGATAAGCGACAGACCAACTTGTCGATTTAGGGGTTTCTCGAGATCTAGCCAATATTTGGTGTGTGTAGATATCTCCTGATACTCCAAACCAAAATAATCGGCCTCAAGTAGATTTAGTTGACGGCACACCTGATCGAATAGAACGCGTCCAAGTGCTTTTGCCTATTTTGTTATTGCAAATTCAGATATTGGGATTGTCGTCAACGTTGTTGTTAGCAACCCGGTGTAAAAGAAAAGTGATGTAAATAAAATGGAAATTTGTGAATTAATTATTTATAAAGATTTCTATTAAATACAAATATTCATTATAAAGTGAATTGCGTTTAAAATACAGATTAAAATTATTTATTTCCCACGTTTTACATAAACTTTTAATGCAAATTTATAATCTGTATACAGTACTCCTGTGTGCATAAATTGTTATTAATGTACATAAGGTTTAGACGATTCCCCAGATGATTTTTTACAGTATTATATTATATACAAGTATATAGTAGGAATTCGGAATAATATATAGTAATAGAAAATTTTGAACGATTATTGACTTTGGCGTAAGAATTTAACACAAGAAGCGTTTCCGCTTTCAACTCAAATTGTTACTGGAACCGGAATTTGGGACGGAACCCAACAATTACCATCCTAACGCCCAACCGTCGCAAGGGGCGTAAGGTAGCCTCTAATGAGCAACATGTTGCGATATTTTTCTGTATGTTCGTCTACCCGTAGAAATTAGTATATTGATAAAACAACATTAACAGGGATCGATATTTAACCAATAGCGCTCGAATAGTAAAATTAGGTAGGGAAAGAGATATTCTGGCTCTATACAGGAAGCAGTTCGTAAAATGGACTATGAGCCATTATATGTATACTGTCTACTTCAGGGTGATTATACCTCATCATGCATTCCATTAACTTATTCATCACATATTGATATATTCAGGCATAAATTATCAATTGTGGCACATCTGATATTAGCTTAACAATGTTTTCTTTTCTGGATGAAAATATTGCCTCATTATATGCCAACATTGTATAAATGCTCCATTACACATCATCATTAAGTTTTTACATGATAAAAGAACCAACTGCCAACCAACTCTTTCGCAATTTCCATATTGAACTTATATAATAAATAGTAATCAATCATCAATCATAAACATCCGTTGGACAACTCTCACTCTAACGCTTTGAGAAGGGCAGAAAACAGAACAAGTAAGGAAGAGCTAAGTTCCGTTGTGACCGGACATTTTATACTCTTGCAACTTACAAAAATCAAATATATTGTATATGATGAAGTTCGAAAAAAAGTTCTTTCTATTAAGTATATAGGGGCTAAGGATTCATTCAGACATAATATTATCAGGAAAGGATTCTCTCCGAATTCCAATTATATTATATATCACATACAATGAACGATAATTTCGGTAAAAAGTCCACCACACAGACACTGGGGTCCACATTTTCGGTATATGGGGGTTTGAACAGTTATGGCCCGATTTTGACAATTTTTCGATTTGAGATGGCTTATCTTGAAGGCACTCTTTATACAAAGTTTTATATCAACATATTCATTAGTGCTTGATTTGTACTCTATACTGGAAAGTGAAAGAATCGGATGGAATTTAAATTTGTGTTCTATGGGAAGTAGGCGTGGTTCAAAGTCTCTGACTTGTTTATTTATTGAGTTAACGCACTTTTAGTAGTTTTTAACAAAAGCGTTATACGGGAAGCGGGCGGGGTTAGCACCCATTCGCATCCATTTTTACACTGTCGGTAGGAGTAATACAAAAATTTGACACTAAACGATTAGAGAGCCGGGCCACGCCCACTTTTAAAAATGCGATTCGTCTTAATGTGGATCTTAGTTAAGTCAATTTATTAGTTTTCGACTATTAAAAGAAGATAGCATTAATCAAAATGTCAATCGAGCGTTAAATGAAGCTGCATCTCAAATAAATTGAATATAGTGGTTTTTACTGCAGTTTTAAATGTACATTTTTAATTATTGTAGTACAAGTATATTTAAATATAGAATTCTGGGGCACATACAATAAAATTTTTATATCCAGTGCAGATAAGACAAGAATTAAAAGGAAAGAGAGTCGGACCAAGGAATATGAATTTAAATATTAAAAATAATTACGAAGGTTTTCTGTAGCTAAAGTGGTGGCTCGTTAAATGTTGGCAACGACTTACAAACGCGTGCCCACGAACCACGAATAAAATCTAATAAAACAAACGGATTAAGCTAAATACAGAAATACGCTTTAATTTATGGCATATCATTAAGGGTTCAACATTTACGATTACTGCGCTTACTAAGTAACAATCATAACGTCGGCAATTATTTATATTTTCATATTTCATATTTTCAGTGAATGGCCTCTTAGGAAGAGATCGAACTTACGTTTTTTCTTACCAATACGACAAATACATATATGTACATTAGGGTGAACTAATTTCTACGGAAAAATATTTTTTATGTATTTGTGCGTCATTTACGAGTAATACGCGGCAAAAGCAATTTTGTTTGAAGTATTCATATCAATTTAATGCTTAATACATGTGTTCCAATGCCACCAACTTTGGATCGTAAGCCTCAGCACATAAAGAAAATGTGTTTCCTAAATGGCGAAGGAATGAAAGCTGCATATCGATGCTAAGAGTTCTGATTAGTTAGATGGTGACAGTGTTGCCAAACAGAATTATTTATAAACTAATTTATATTTCTACTGGTTACTGATGGTTAAACGTTCTTTTGAATATTTGTTTAACTCCTGATATGCGCGTTTTCTTGAATAAAAAAAAACATATTATTTGTACAACTTTCAGTACTTTGGCTAAGCCAATTTAGGGTTTCCAAACATATTTTTTTGTTTCATAAAGAGACCTAAAAACATTACGCAATTGGTAAAAATAACCTATAGTGTAGAAGCGTCGGATCGGATTTTTTTCAAAACTGACGATGTCAAATCGGGTGACGATGTTTCTCTGAGAATATCGCACGTATCCACTAGCAATTTTAACTGTAGCTTAACAGTAACATTATCTAGTAAACTACTAAGTACGTTTTGTTATTATTGCCATCTTGTTTTGAAATAATTTACTGCTAAATTTTTCGACAAAAGTGCGATAAATTGATATAAAGCGTACGTCTTGTACGTACATTACCAGCAAGCCTTAAGTAGATTAACATGAGTTCTTAGCATTACCGTTGAACGTAGAGACCTACTTGAAAAAGGTGATTCCGATGCGTGGCTCAGTTATCGCTATTTAGGATGAAAATGTCAATATATACTATATATAAAACCCCAAGCATACCGATTTCTCAACTGTGATTTGAGTGACAACATTTCATAAATAAATATTGAAACCATATTAATGTTTTTTATTTAAAAACGCAGGCCGTTATTTTTGGGAAAATTTTACCTACCCTATTGTAGATACAACAACACATATTAAGAATTTACATATTCGTTTGAGAGTACAAAAAGTACTCAAACTTCAATCACAACGCTTGGACTTACGACGACAACAACAACAATGACAACCGGACGAGTTACTTGGTTACATAGAGTATTAGGTACATACTCATACGTTAGCAGTACCTAGAAACGTTGAACGGTAGGGAGTTGCGTATCTCGAGAACAAAACTAAGTTTCTAAAATTAGAAATTTGCGTGGCCATAGTCTTGAAATTGTACTAAAAACAAATGTACACGACGTTGATTTCGTGAAACACTTGATTTGTTCTAAATGCCAAATGAAAATTACAGTGAAAAGCAATCGCACCTGAATGACACGCCACGGTATCACGGTATTCTCTCTCGGGCAGCAACGAAGTGCATGGATGCAAATTAATATTTCATTCACGTCGATTTTGTGTAAACACTGCAATGAATTGGTTGGGGAGAAATCGATACTGCAGATAGGTTTATGGATATATTTATGTACACATGCATAAGAGAATGCCCTGCACTGTAGATATAAATACAACTTATGTACGAGTATTTTAAGCACTCATATATTTACTAAGAAATTATGTTTATTTAGCCATTTATTGTAACTTTCTTACGTCTTATTCTAACTTTCTTACATCTCAGAAATGGTATAAAATAGGATGATATTATATAATTCCTTCAATCAGAACAGAAAACTACAGAAATCGTTACCTTAACGCCCTTCTTGACGTACTTTTTATTTTACATAATTAGGTACTGTTTATAAAAATTAATATAAAATATTGTAGAGGAAATATTATATTAAATACTTTTAAATGGTACCGTAATACTATTATCTTTCGTAGTGATCAAAAATAATTGAGAGATTGAGAAAAACTCTACTTTCGGAAAATAAAAATAGCCTATTATAAAACAGTAGTTCGAAAAATTTTAATAAGCGGGTTTATGTAAATACTAGGATACCAATGCTATGATAATTGCGCCAACATAGCTCAGATGTTCTTTAGTTGTGTTTTGTACAACACACCCATACACGGAAAAAACCGTCTGAGTTAGCTCCGATTTTAACCCAATCGAATATTTATGGTATGTGACAAATTTAATCGAAGAGTTCGAAGACATCGAACTCAAATGCAGGTATTCTTCTTGTTGCACGGTTTTTTGTTATATAAATTTTTTTAACGACCTTTCTTTTGTGTATTATTTTTAAATAAATATTTTGAAAATTCGCGAGTTTCAAAGGCGATGATATTTTTCTTGCCATAGAATGGAGATTTTCATGCGTGTTTCTAAATCATCAAATTTCTCTCCCAAGTATTAGAAAATTTCAGAAATATTTTTGTAGATTACCCATCGAAGTTAGATGAAACAAACAAAACGTTAACTTTGGCTGCACCGATCCTATAATACCTTACAAATAAATAAGTTTCCATACAAATTCTTAATTTTGGTCGGTCAGTTTGTATGGCAGCTCTAAGCAATAGTGTTCCGAACTGAAAATTTGTTGTTTGGTACAATTTTGGCAAGAGTCCATGTAATATTTCGTGTAGATATTTATACCCTTAACAGGTTAAGTTTGCGACCAAGTTTGTAACACTCAAAAGGAAACATCGGAGACCCGATAACATATACTTATAAATAAAAGAGCAGCATGATGAGCTGAGTTGATTTAGCTATTTCCGTCTGTCCGTCTGTATAT